AAAATACCAGCGGAGAGAGGAAAAACAGGGTTCAAAGGGAACGACACAACTGACTGTAGTGTAAATGTTGAGGGTTAGAGTGACTTTGTGGGCTGAAGCATTTCATTGTTTGTGATAAAAAAAAACAGTTTTATATAGTTTATTTATCTACTTTTATGGCTTTCTAAGGTGCTTTGTAGTGGTTGGAAGTTGTTTTATAGTCACATCTTCCATAGCCATAGATGGTCCATATAAACATCCATTCAGCAAGCATCTACTCTGGGCACTGCAATCTTGCCGCTAAACCACCACCACCACCTGTTTTCAGCCCCAAAGGTGAAACAGCTATTACCCAGAGTCCATCCAGTAGCTAAACCCGCACATCCTTGAGGTGGGGGAGCTGGAACTCATCACAGCTGACACTGGGCAAGAGGTGGGGAACTATCACACAGAGAAAATCAATCAACTTCCAACTAACTTGGAGAGGGAACCCACAGGGAGAACAAACAAGCTGCACACAGATATGCCTCTGATTCTATTTGGCCCTACTCTATTTGCAGTTTTCCTGTGATATGACAAATTACATAATGAACATTTTAGGTGTGCTCTCTATTTAATTCATCCCCAAGTACCAAAAAGATAAAAATGTTCCACATTTTTTGGCTTATAACACTAATAAGTGTCTACTTGCAACCCTTCCATTCCAGTTGTATGTTTACCAGTCATGACCTGTTTATCCAAAATGAGACTTATTCTATCTTTTGAGACCCAGAAGTTAAAATTGTCATGTAACTGACAAAGAAAGTGCAAAAACATTATAGCAGAATGTTCATATCCAGTAGCAGAAATCTTGTTACTTTGCAGCCCACCAGATTTTTCCTTGCACCCCCTTCTGGGGTCTTGACACTCAGGTTGGGTAACACAGATTCAGACATTCTGGCTAATTTGCAAATTTGTTAACAACCTGTCAGATCATCTGATTTGATCTGATCTGGTCAGCTGCTGGTTTCTGCTGGGTAATAGCATCTGAAACATTAGCAAGAGATGTTGCTATTACAATAATGTGATAATAAGAAATTGTGTTGTCTCATTAGTCAAACAAAACTGAACTCTCCATTCATCTCCCTGAATACTGCATTTATTCCTTTACTGATGTTTTCCTTTTCATTCATAAGTCATTCAGATTCACAGAAGACAAGCAAAAAAAATATAAAGGAAAACAGCAACCATTTTTCCTGACTCAGCAAATAATAACAATGAGGTTGCACTTGAGCAAGGCACTTAACCCAGCTAGATTCAGTGTGCTCAGTGGCTTAGAGAGGTCTGGAGACAGTGAAAGAGCTGAGCTTCCGGTACTGGGCAGTTCCCACTGGCCTAAATTAGCACACTGTGGTTCTACTGGGCAGCTCCCAGGAATGAATGCGCATTACTATAAGTGCAAAGCAGGACATTTCGGAAGAAGTGTGTGCATACTCAGCAGAAGCAAATATACTGTACCTGCCAATGCCAGCTATCGGATCAGCTATCTAAATCAATGGCCTTCTGCTAAAAATGCACCCTGATGCAGTGCAGTCAGATACTTGCAGAAGAGAAGAGAGAAGGAGTGAAAGGTGAGAGGAGTGAGAAGAGAGTAGTGGGCCTTAATGCTCCAGCCCTGGGTCTATTAGAAGCTGATTGGGCACATTAGGAGGGAAAGGAAATACTTGAACCGGGAGCAGCTCTACAATAACCACTGGCTGCTCTTTGTTGAACACACAGGCTGATCAATAGCAATGAGGAAAAAGCATAGGAGGGTAGGACATGGCGAGGCGAGGAGCAGACAAAAAAAAAGGCCCAGGTTTATGGTAAGATAAGCTGAGATCGATAGAGAGACAAGGACTGCTGCTGCGTTGAGAGAAAGGACAGAGGAATGCCAGATGCACAAGGTTCGCAGTCATTCACCTCATCAAACCTGATAAAGGGGACCCTGTGTGTGTGTGTGTGTGTGTGTGTGTGTGTGTGATGGGGAGTCTTCTCTTACTTGTATATATTTCCTAGTTAGAATTAAACTGCCATCAGTTCAACTAAGCACTTCCTGTGGATGCCTCACAATAAAACCCTACCAGGAAGGAAGTATTAAAAACAGAAATGTCACAGTAGAAGCAACCAAAGTCAATTTAGTGAGTTATTCTGTTAAAAGAATTGTTTATGCTGGCATCACTAAATCTAATAATGAGCATGATGTTTTTTGTTGCTTTAATAGGCACAAAAATGCAAAAAGACAAGTTGTAGCTCTATGTGAAGTTGCTCTATGTGCAGTGTTATTTCTCAGTCTTTATGGTAAGCTAAGCTAATTGCCTGCAAACTCTAGCTTTATATCACTGTACTACATACATGAGCATGGCATACAGTAAATCCATCCACCCATCCAATATCTATACTGTTTATTCCTGAATAGGGTCATGGGGGGCTGGAGCCAATCTCAGCTGAAACTGGGCGAGAGACACTGGGCACAACCTGGACAGGTCTCCAGCCTATCACAAGGCTGAGATGTAGACTACGGTATCCCCTTTGAGCCACTGAAAGAGCTCTACTGTCAATGACAATAGCAAGAAGTGTTGAGTTTAACACTAAGCAAATAAGCAAAAAAGAAAAACTGTGAGTGAAAACAGTAATTTTGTTACACAAGAGTAACTCAGAACCACACTGTGGCCATTAGAACAGGACCAACACTGATCTGACGGAATTGCAGCTGTGGCAATATCCAGTGAAGAAGGATTGGTTTTGCATTGACAACAGCAACAGCAGTTAAGATAAATAAAGACCTCCACCACCATTTAAATGTACAGTAGTAGCTTGTGTTATACTGCATGTATCTCGGAGAGCAGTTTTGTGTTAGTCTGCATGAACATTGCAATTGTGTACGGGGGCGTGCACATAAGTGCAGTCCATTTATCTGTGTATATCTGCCACCTGCCATGCTGCCTTTGATGAAGAGAACCTTCACCTCCATCTTTCTTGCTTTTCCTCTTCTTCCCCTTCCTCTTACTCCCTCTGTCGCTCTCCTCATGTGCTCCGTTTCTTCCCCCTCCCTCCCCTTCTCTTCCCCTGAGCTCTTGGTGTCTGTGAAGGCACCCTGTCAGAGAAGAGCTATTTATGATCAGCAACCAATATCCTCACAGAGATAAACACACTGTGAGAGACAGAGATCGAGAGAGAGGGAGAGAGAGATCTAGAATTATTAGACAGAACAAGGGTAAGTGCATTGTGACAGAGTGAGAGAGAAGCGCACAGACTTGCAGAGAAAATATGGATTGAGGAATAGAGCACTGCTGCCCGAGGCTGTTTTTTCACACCTTTGTGTTTATGTGTGGGAATGTGTGTACGCACAGTGGTCGTTTTGTCGTCACAGTATACAACAGTTTGTGTTTAAGTGCATCCTTCTTCTGCCCATACGAGCCTGTTTTCTGTAGGTGGATGTTGGGATATAAATGACTTTTCTTTTTTTTTAATTGGATGACATTTATTAAGGTCTGCTGGAGCAAACAGACAACCGATTGTAAGTGAAGTCCTTTTCAGACATGCACTGGAATCCTGCAATTATCTAGGCATCACCCGGAGGAGCTGTATGTGAGAACTCAAAAGTCCAAGTCAGTTGACCCCTAGTACAAAGTCCACGTAGCAGTGTATAATCCTAATTATTGACATGCTAGTGGGCATGTTGATGACATTCCATTGTGTGACTGGTGCATACAACCCCAACCAGTGGTGGAAGAAACCCTCAGATTGCTTACTTAAAAGTAGTGATACAATAGTGTAAAAATACTGTGGTGAAAGTAAAGGTCCTGCACTCAAAATGTTAAGTACAAAAGCATTAGCATTAAAATATACTTGAAGTACTAAAAGTACTCACCATGCAGAATTGCATTATTAACATTAATGGATATCATATGATTTGATTATAATAACTTGTGCAATGTTATTACAATGTAGCAACTCGTAAAGGGGGAGCTAGCTTTAACTAGCATATATGCATATAATTTGAAGTATTGCTGGGTAGTGAATTTTTCCAATGGAGATCAATAAAGTCTTATGATTATACTGTAATTTTTGTATTAATCTGGTACTGGAAAGTAACTAGCAACTGAAGTTATAACATAAATGTAGTGGAGTAAAAAAGTACAATGTTTGCTTCTAAAATGTAGTGAAGTCAAAGTCTGAAGTAGCACAAAATCAAAATTCTCAAAGCACAAAGCTGTACCTAAGTACAGTACTTGAGTAAATGTACTTAGTTACTTTCCACCACTGACCCCAGCATCCTCCACCAGTTAGTGGGTTAGGACAGCCTGAATGTAACCTGAGAGGCAGATCCCAGGACACAAAGGCTGTAAAGCACTTGCTGCCACTTATTGTGAGCCCAGAGTACTAAATGAAGACGACAGAGGTGAGTGGAGCAACATTTTTATCAATTTTCATCAACTTCTTTCATTTGAATTTATGTGATTTTCAAACACTGTTTGGTGAGAATTAGTAAAGGAAACCAAATTTGTAAAAGTGGAACTCATGGCATTGTACAGAAAGGATTTTCAGTAAACCATACACACTAGTGCCCTCAGAACCTACAGTTTACTCAACAGCAATTTGTACAATCTGAAATCCAGCGTCCTATCCAATTTTAATGTGTTATGTTTTCCCCATTTTGTCTTTGCTTTTTCCCTATGTCCTAGCTCAAGTAGCTCCCTGCTCTTTTTCTTTGGCTCGCCCCAGAATCATTTCTTTCTGGGAGTAGTCTACCTGAAAATGCCTGTAATTTCCACATCCTGTTTTGACAACTTCTGCAAGATTTCCCTTTTCTCCCTCATATTCACTTTATTTCTTTTGAATTTGTGATCATTTTATTGTACATGCTCCCTCCCCCACTGATGTTCTTTCTGATTCATGCTGCCAGTTGTGCTATTTGCTAAGGAAGGTTCCACATGATGCAGAATAGATGCTGCTATGTTTTTCTTCTCCACCCCTTTGTTTTGTTTTTACTTCCTTACTTGTTTTGCTTCTCCTCCCTTGCGTGTCTGTATGCTTTCTCCTTAATCTCCCTTCAGCTGTTTTTTCTTCTGGCTTCTTTGTGAATGCTGAATACACTCCACTCAGATGAAGGTCACATTGGGCTAAAGGAGAAGAAAAGATAAAGAAGAGAGTGGTAATGAGTGACAGGTGTGGAAGTCTATGAGTGTGTGTGTGTGTGAGAGAGAGACTGGCAGGGTGGCATTAATCATTTTAATGTTTTTCTCTGTGAAGGTGCGCTTATGACACACACACAAATTCACACATGCTATAAGTAAATCTAATTGCTAAATGCTGTTGCACACAGAAATACACACACACGGGAACATTAACACACTAGAGCGCAGCACAGTGAAATTCATCTGTATGCGGTTCTACTCACAATTTTGGCAAGTCACATGGCTAGTTGATGAACTCTAGCTGGAGAGCTAGCACACACACACACACACACACACACGAGCCAGGAACATGCTAGCCCTACTCAGTCACACAATAGAAAGCCAACGTGAAAAAGTTGTAAAATTTCATTAATTTTCAGACATTAAATATTATTTAACTTTGTTTAAATCATGAAGGTTTTAAGTTTATCTGCTGTAGTGCTCACCAGTTTCCAAGCTTATACTTTTTGAGAAGAAATGCTGACCCTTTCTCTGAGCTTTTTTATTTTTTTATATTTGCAGTACTTACTCCCCTCTGGCATTTTGTTCTCAATATATTGCATCATTTCTTTCATTAAATGGTTAATGAAGGGAGAGAAAGCTCTCTGAACTAGCTAGCTATAGCAATAAAGCTCTTTAGCTTGGTTGGTAATGGGACAGAACAAATGGAGATTCCTGTCTCGTAAGTGTGTGAAAGTCATTCCTCATTTGTGAAACAGTTGATTCCTCTGACAGTGGAAAGTTGTACGATAGTGAATGATGCAACACAGCTAACACGACAGACTCTCTGGCACTCCATTTCTTCAAAGGTCAGAACTGTCAAGATGGCTAAATGCTGGTGAAAGGCACGGATTCATGTGCTGAAGTTCACCAGATTTGAACTTGATGTGAAATGTGTGGAGGCTGACTTGATTTTGCTTCGAAATATTACTGTTGTAATTGCTGCATTGACCGAGTCTTAATACACACATGGAACACACTCTGAGATACAAGCCCACACACATCTAAGCATGCTCACATGTGCGCACACAGAGACCTGAATGCTGGAGGCTTACATTCATTTGATCCCATGGCTGCAGATCACATAACTAACTGCCTGTGTGTGTGTGTGTGTTCATGTGTGTAAAGGCTGACATTCATGTCAGTGACTCAGTAATCACAGTAAGAATGCTGAGGGGCAAGCAGATACTGTCAGTAACATATGGGCCGCTGCAGTTACACACAGGGAGCACACAAAGGCAACACCAAAACCTCTGACGCATTCATAGTTCATTCACTGCTGTCAATAAACTACATGCTGGAAACTCAGCTATACTCAGTGCTGCAATATCTATTGGACAAGCTGTTATGTTCTCATACTTTATTGACTGAACCCTCCAAAACACTATACCTCTATACTATATTTGGTATATATGTGTGAAAGACATCATGACTTTTAACGTAAAGCCTTATATGACAAAAATCCATGACTTGTAGCAATACTAAGTGAGACAGCCCTGTTTTGAACTCGGAAACAAGTCAATTTGCAAACCATCTAATAGGTTTTTAATGTGTTTAGTGTAGACAGATATTCTCAACCTATAATGAATAATTTAATATTTTGTGGTTTTCATTGGACAGTGATGAAATGACACCTGCTACTGACTTGGTTTTCTAAAGGAAAAGAACACCCAAAGACTGGATAAATCCTCTTCTGGTGGCTGGAAGAAAATAAACAGGAAGTTACGTAAAAATATGAAGCCCAGGTCTTCCAAGATCCATTTAGTTTGCATAAATGTGCTGGAGGGAGAATTTAGACTTAATCAGGAACTCGTGACTGTGGCTAGCTCACCATATGAGCGCTTGTGTGTTTGTGTTAACTGCTTCTGGTAGAGCATTTAACCCTTCTGTGAGTGTCCCCACCTGGGACTGGACAGAATAACTTTAAAAGCTGTAAGGAAAAAAATGTCTCCAAAATCAAATACACTACTGCATCTGAGACCAGTGGCTGGGTTACCGATAGGGCAGGATGATCTCACACACATACATACTGACATGACTATGTGACAGCACAGCAGCATACTGGCCATCTCTGGTAGAGTTTTCCTGAATAAGTAAGTCATCCAGACATCATGTTTCCATTGGTTTCATCCAGGAGAATGCAGCAGCCAAAACCCTGCAAGGCTCCGCAGAAACACACACACACACACACACATATAAATACGCATGCCTGTCTACCACACAAACCAGTGCGCACAGACGCACAAGCAGACACACCAAGGCCAAAAAAGAAGGAAGAGAGGTGGAATGGAGGGGGAGTAAAGGGATCTGGTTAAAAGGCAGGATTTCAAGAACACCTGCACACATACACACACCTCCAGCTGTTGGCTGTCTGTGTGTTTGACAGGCAGCACACTGAGTGGCTGTGTGGAAGCCAGCCAGCCGCTTGTGAATCAGCAGTGACTAACAGTTTAAACCTGCACTTTCTGAGCTAATCGCCTGCATGCTTATTGTAAATGTGCGTGTGTCTGTGTGTTCATGTGGGTGGATGTGTTGTATACTCACGTGTCTCAGCGTATGTGTGTGCCTGCATGCTGCCACCATATAAGCCTTCCCTATCAGGCTCAATTGTGGCAGCCCAAGCCTTTAATTGCTTTGCACCAAATTTGACATTGTCTAAGCTGACAGCATCCTGATGAGCGGAATTAAAGTGGAGCAACGATGCACCCGTCACTTCCTCCAATTGGCCTCGACAAGAGCACAACTCTGTGCTCCGTTTGATCACTGCACAAGACAACGTGCTGGGATGCTAATCACATGCAAAGGGCCAAGCCTTGAACATATGCCAAAATGTGTGGGTCTGCATTGTAAGTGTGTGTGTGTGTGTGTGTGTGCACTAGTAATGGAAGCTCTAATCAGCAGCAGGATTGGAAGAGGCATGTGGCAATAAAGCCCAACAAAATGTCTGCCAGTCCCTATTAGAGTCAAGCACGTTCTTGAAAGCCTGGTCGACAATGCACATGTGTACAGTATACGCACACACAGACATACTTTCCAGCTTGCTGGACATCTGGCCAAGGTCAGAGCTAATCTGAGCAGTGAAAGGCAGTTGCCATCCCCCACCAACACCAACACCACCTGTACCTCTTTAGAAAGCACAAAGACTGAGCAGAAATGAGCAGAAAGGCGTGATTTTACAGTCTTTATCCTCTAGAATGATTTAGTTGTAAACTCTGACCCTACAGTATGAGAGCAGCCTATTACCCGCAGTTTGTGATTTACAAGCTAAAATTAGCGCTGGCGACCATTTACTGAGGCCATTATTGGTGCGAAACAGAGTCAATTCCCACTGAGCTCCTTCATGAGCGCTGCAGATTTATACTCAGCTGAGGGATCGATTATTCAGTGTACCATAGTAATGACTGATATACAGCCGGCATCTCTGCATTTGCTGTTTTCATGGTAAGACTGTATGTGCAATAATGCTGTGCCTGCTCTGGGACACTATACCTGTTATAGGCTTTAAGAGTTATGTGGCTTTCAAGATCGAACTTGACATTTTAACAGTAATGGCAGATGTCATTCTGTGCTGGAGATGATCACTAAATACCTTTTTTAAAGTGCGTCTAAAGGCTTCATTAATGTTACATTTACTAAAGCTTTATAGATTACTTTTAAGATATTAATAAAAACAAGCCTGGGTTGCCAGATAGTGCAAAATGATGAAGCATTTGTCAGTGGATTAGAAAGATTTCTAACAGCAAGATGCATGCTTTATAAATGGCTTATAACTGATCTGCAAAGCATTGCTAAATTATTTCGTAAATCGTGTGAATGCCATTAGCTGCAATTTATAAAAACTTTATATAGAGCACTTAAATAGAAAAGGGGCACCACTAGTTTTTTATGATGTAAATTGAATAGATTGCCAATCTTGTATGGCTGCAAAGTCCTCTCAAGCCTACACAGTATCCATCTGTAAGAAAAAAGTGAGAGCAGTTGCAGCCATTGTTAAGATTGATAGCAAACATTTTGCTATTCATATTTCACAACAGCAATAACAGCTCTAAATTACAAGTTTTGACAGCTCCAGACTCTGTAAGTGCAAGAGTAAGTGCACTGCACTAGGTCAGAACGCACTGACCAAGTTTCTGGCAGTGTGACTGAATGGTTTGAAGTTCTATTGTCTGTATACTGTGGGGGAAAAACAACTGCACTTCTTTGTCAACAGATAATGTGATTGCGATTTTTTTTCACTGAAATGGGACCTTTCGACTCTCATCCACTCATTTCCTGTGTGAAGCACAGCGCCTGCATTGGTGCTTTTGGCAAAAAATACCGGTTTGAGCTGAGGAGCTGTGATTTTTATTCTCACTGTGCCAGAACTCACAGGAGTCACTGTGGACATGAAATACTGAGCAGCGCCAGGTGTGTAAGCTCAGCTGAAGTGGAAACACAGTGAGAAAGAAAAATTGTCACATTTGTCTATACACACAAGTGCTTTAGATCACGTGAACACACTCCACAAGCTTTTATCAGTTTTGAATGTTAATAGGGATTAAATCACTGCATCAGAGCAGAGTTCATTCACCTGAAATAGGGTAAGTGTATTTCTGAGTTTTGAAGTGTTATGTGCTTGACAAGAGGAAAGACCCATAAAATGAGTGGGGAGTGTGCATAGGCTGGGAGGTCTCGCTGTGCATGCATGTGTGTGTGTGTGTACTGTATGAAACATCTGTTTAGTTAAGTGAGAGGATGCGATGGTAAAGTGCTGGCTTGGGCCCTGGCCTTCTGCACAACAAGCACTCAGGGCAGTGAGGTGATTAAAATCCAGTATCTGTATAAAGCCAAACAAATCCCTCCTGCTCTTTTAAAACCTACAGCATTCCATGTCGGGATTTGCATTTTGCCACTTTTGCTCCTGATCTCTGCTTTTCTCACTAGGCATGATTTATGGGTGTCAACTC